TTCTTTACATTGTTCTTTTTATCTACAGTGTCCTGAGACAACATATGTTGTGACTTGGTGCTATATAAATAAACTGAATTGAAGTTAATTAAAATCCAGTTTGAATTATCTGAGATTTGTTAATATTTATTGTTATTATTCTTGTTCAGTAAATAGACTGTACTTGCATTGCACATTTCTATCCAACCAGGATAGTCAAAGTGTTTCATGTTACAGTCTGTGTCCTCATTTAACCATTCATACAGCACTATTTGATCTGTCTATGAAGCTAATAATGATAAATCAATCTATAGAGACTAATTAGTGCTTTAAATCACATCCATACATCAGAGGCGGGGGGAGGTCAGTGTCTTGCTCAAGTACACTGACACAGCAGTGGAATCAAACCACCAACTCTTGCATTAGAAGAATGACTCCCCTGACTACTGAGCCAACCCTCTAACTAATTGTGTTTATTCTTAAAAAATCACTTGTTTCCCAATTTAGTCTTTCTTTATTGTCACTTTAGTTAGAATAAATCTGAAAATAAATTCTCACAAAATGKCAAAAATTTAACAACATGAATTCAGTTTTTTTAATTACAGTAGGTATTCTATCTTTTAAGTTTGACTAATGCTATAAATCAGTTCAATTAAATTAATATCAGTTTATATAGCGCCAAGTCACAACATACGTTGTCTCAGGGAACTGTACACAAAAATCAGTCTAAAGAAGCCAGCAGATTGTGTTGATTCACTTCATCACAGTGTCCCATCCTGAGCAGCACAGTGGTGAGAGTGGAGAGAAAAAAACTCTCCTTTAACAGGAAGAAACCTCCTAACCAGAACCAGAACCAGGCTCAGGATGGGTGGCCCAGCTGGGTTTGAGGGACAGGAAAGAGACAGGCAAACACAGCAGAACTGGTTCAGGTGTATTGTCCTCTGAAAGAGATGGTATTACCGTATATTATTAATATTATGCATCAAAGTGCATAATATTAATGTACTTATTTGTTTTTCAGTAGAACTGATTTTGTCTGCAGTATCAACAAGTTTACAGAATCAAATTTTCCAAAACAAAATTTCTGGTTCTGATTGGTGTACCTTTAGACTGGACGGAGTTGGCGTCACATCTTGAGCAATGTGAGTTTTTCATTCTACGACCCGGAACATGTTCAACCAGTTTACAGTAAACTTCTGGCTCTGGAGCTCCACATGTGGCGTTGCTGCTGATCTCTGCATTAGTGGCCAGGTTAAAGATGGCTGGAAAAAGTCCTAAAATACAAAAGAACTGTTAGAATGTGTCAGGGAAGAAGGCATTAATGWTACTTTTCTTCCTCATTTCATTATCTGCCTTTCTTCTGCCTTTACAGTTGTGATCAGCAGTTTCAGTCCACTCTTATTGAAAATAAATGTCAAATTATTTGGGACTTTTAATAAATCTTTGAACCACTATGATACTACAACATATAAGTTCAATACAGTTATRAAACATGTTTGAATTTATTGTKGATTTTMTTTKATCAAAATAGGCTCAAATAAATCCAAACATTTACATAAATCTGTTAGTAAGTGCTGCTTTAAAATTTGGGGTCTTTTATTTGACCAGGCCTGTTAACATCCTGTTTCTGATCATATTGAGGTCCTGATGAGACAGAGACTGAACTGTATAGTTCTTTTGTTGTCAGATGCTTTGCCTTTTCAAAACTATGTTTCCTATAGTGGCGKTATGCTGTTAATTTCAGATTTTTTATGATGCCAATTATGGAACTCTTGTTGCTCTGATGCCCAAACCAAATCGTGGAAATGGTCATTTAACTAGGTCTGTTACAAGTGGACAACTGACATTACCAGATTTTAAAAACTGTTATGGCCAGAGATTATTTTTTTTTTATGTTAAAACTAAAGCATGGATATTCCTCAACATATGAAATCCATCTTAACTCTGAGCTGTTTAAGAAGACTCTTGTCTGCCATCTGCTGGACATCTTCTTTTGCAATCATATTTAGGTGTCTATTGTGTAAATGCTGTCTGTTGTTTGTAAGTTGGTATGCTTGTTTGTCTTTGTGTATATAGTGTATATAATATTGTGTTGTGATGTTGGCTTTCTGTGGGTTTTTATGTTCTGCAGAACAGAAACCTGCTGTAAAACAGCAATTATGCTGTCAGGCCTGATTTCTTTTACTCTTTTCCTGTTTAAAAAAATAAATCAAATCAAATCAAAGATGAGACGGATGTTTGAAGGAGTTAATTTAAGACATTAAGACATTAAGAACACTGAACCGACTGTCAGTTATTGTGATGGTAGTATCATGTTATGGTAGTTAGTAGGTAAAATGTAATAAAATGTTTCTAGATAAAACATCAAAACCTTTATTGAGTGGTGGTAAAGCCTTTATCTGTGAACATGAAGTTCTTTAAACACATTGTTGTGTCTATTTTCTCTTGTTACCCTTTAAACCAGAAACTGAACAATCAGACACATTTTTAAACATTGAAACCAGAGTGRAAAACAATTCTGAAAGAGGATTGAACTAAACTTTCTTAAAGTTGAATTGTGAACACAGATGGCAGTGGAGACCGGGGACAGTAGCAACAAGGGACGGTTGCAACACGTTATTTTTCTCCAAAAAGAAACAATCTAGAGTGATGACCCTCACACTGTACATGCTCAGTTAGATGTTCCACCTTGTAAAGAAAAAGT